CAGAACAATCTTGAGCAAATTAAAATGTAAATTTTTATACAATCACTGCTTTTGGGTGACAAATCTTTTGCTTAAGTCTTTAGATGCATCCTGCCTCTGATTTTCACATTTGAAGGTTTCAGAAGAACTTGCCTGATCAGTTCTGTGATCTCTTTTCTTATTTCTTATGCTGACTTATCCAATTTCTGCAAGAGTTTTTAGCTTGCTAAGCCAACAGTGAACTGATCCAGTAGAAAGAAAAAATAATTCTCACATGTTGGGTGAGTGAACTGAATAAAAGGAGGGCAAGAGCCATGGCCGGACTGCTCAGGTATGGGGAATTAGGTACTCTGAATTCTCCATTATCACCTCCAGGGATGCACAGCTCTCAGGACCAGGCCTGGGCCCTGCTTTGGGAGCAGGAGTTCCACTCTCACCAACATTGCCCACAGCTCAGTAAAACCTTCACAACCTCAGAGGGACACATACCTAAAGACCCCAGAAGTGAGGCCTAAGGACATGAAAAGGACAAAATATGGAAAACAATCTCAACTCTTCAGTTTGCTTCATGTCAGTCTACAACTGCTAAACAAAAAATGTGTAAATAAAAAATAAACCCACTGAAAGTGAATGTTAACATTTTCTTCAATCTGACATACTGTTCTCAAAATTCAAACACCCACGACTACAGGAACTGAAACAACACATCTGACCAGAGACACTCTAAATATCTGGTCAGAGATACATCAATACTGAGTAACCTAGAAAAAAAATTAACATTCATCCAGGAAATTAGTGGTTGACTTATGTCCTGAAGCATTTTGAAGGTTATCCAAACTACTGCAGCTGTTCTGTTAGCATGTCCTTCATCTGCATTAAGAACCATGCTCTGGACCTGGAAAAAGTGTTCAGCAATGCATGGATGCACAGCAAAGATTTAAAATTGGATCTTTTATGTATATTGTCTCTGAATATTAAACACTTGAACTTTCTAAGACAAATGCCCAAAGTAATATTTCATTCATATTAAATGCTGTAGTAATGAGGGGAATGTCATATGATTTATCAAGTACATAAAGCATTGTAGTGTTTATAAACAGTATTTAACAATGATGAATAGATTTTTTTTATAAATATATAGATGTTTCTCCATGTGTATGCACTTTAGACAACACTATGTAAGATAATTATATAAATTACATAGCTATAATGGACAATTAGGAACCCAATTATACTCCAACATATCATTATACTATTATATAGTACTAATTTACTGCCCTCTAATACATATTTACTGCTACTGGTCTCCAGACTTTTGGTCTTGGAATACCTTAAAAATCTGCAATTTTTTAAGTTACCAGGAAAAAACCCAAGTATTTCTTTCTCTCCTCAACCCAAATTTGGAATTTTGCACCCAAACCTCAAATACTGCCGGAGGCCCAGAAACTAAATTCTCACTGTCACTGCAGTAACAGGTTAAAATTGCAGCACTGTATGCCCTTGCAGTGCTGCCAAGAGGCAGCTTTATCTCACTTGAAATTGAGATTTAAGGCTTTGAGTGAGACACAAATCACCTGCCCAGCCATCTAACTCACTGGACCTCAGCATCATGACTTTTAAAATGCAGCTTTGATCATTTTATACATATTTTCTCTAGGATTGGAATCACAGTGTGCAAAGGTGTCTGGTCTTACTGGTTAAAAGGATAAAACTCCTGGAAAAAAGTTTTCTATGCTGTTAGTATTTCTAATAACATTTTGCATTGTCCCATGCATAAAATATTAAGTATTCCAGAAAATAACATCTTCCAAAATAGTTGTCTCAGGACTCCTGGAAAAGCCTGAAGAGCTCAGCAACATCTTAGACAATTTTGATAATGGCTCACCCCAAACTTTGACTATGAAATCTTTGTAGGACACCATTGCATGGTCCTTTTTACTAAAAGAGAGTGTTGTACTGGAGTATTAGACAAAAGTGCTGAAAATGTTTTGTGAACTATGGCTCAAGTGATGGCAGCTGCTATAATCTGCACTCAGCTCACCTCTACAAGGAAAATTACAACAAACATTGCATGACAGCATTAATAAAAATTCCAAGATTGGTTCTATATGCAGAATCTACCTTAAAATATGTCCACAGTGAATGTTCCTTCCTCTTATAGTCTAATAGGAGGATCAAATTCCTTCAATGTTCAATGAGAAGTCTAATTTCTAGACATAGTTGCATGGAAATAACTTCTGTAAACAGGGTGCACTGCAAAGGTTTTAGAAGAAATACCTACAGGCATCCACTATGAAAGATCAGTTTGGAGAAATTCAGGATACACATAAAATGATCAAAGTCTTTTAATACTATATCAGTAAAACCATCAAACTCTTGCTTCGATGAACACACCTAGTGATTGTCAAAGCAAAAAGTCCTTATGTGCCACAAAAACAGGATTTCCCCTCAGCTATTTTGGCTTAACTAAGGCTTTCAGACAAAAACAGTAAAAGAAAACAATTCTATAATTTAAAAAAAAAAAAAAATTAAAAAAATCAAAGGACACAATGGAAAAAACCAGCACCATTTTGGAGATGCAAGAGAAAAGGAAACAAGAAGAATGAGAGGAGAGGGTGATTAAAGCAAAATATAGCTCCCAGGAACATATGCTTAAAAATTCTCCCAATATTTCCTCTAAAATGCACGTTCCTTGGAGGTACAAAAATTTTAAGGGACCAGATGCCAATTCACTACTCAGACTGAAAACTTTGGATACTCAGTTCTATTCCCTGAACTGAACAAAAGCCATTTGGGTGGACTGAGATTTAATTATACCCAGGGTAGGCAGATTCCCCCACTTATCAAGGGCCTGCCTGGTGCTGGAGAGCTGTCTCATCTCACTGTAATTGTTATTACAGTCCTGAAGCTCAAACTCATCCACATTCCTTTTTTTCTTTTCCCACTGCAACACTCCATCATCTTTCACGTCCTATTCACCCCTGCCTTCCAGGAAACATAGCAGCAGTCTGGCCTGGAGGGCTGTCCCATGGCCCAACGAGTGAGTTCCACTCGGCAACACCTCCCTGTGTAATATTCTAAAGGTTCTGATGTTTTTATCTTCTCATTCTTGTAATTTTTTGTTATTTTTTTTTCTGAGCTTCAAACACACATTCTTGCTGGATATATTTCTCCTCATATTACAGAATGCTGTGATCCAGAAGTCACGCTGAATTTCTGACACAGCAAGTTGGCACCAGACAAGTGATTTCACTGCAGGATCACTCAGCAAAAAAAGCAAGGCCACAGGAAGAAAACGAACTCCCACTTCCAGCATAACTACCCTAAAATATGAATCAAAAAATGTCTTATATTTTGCAAGATTGTATATTTTTTAATCAAAATTTACCCCTGTCATGATGATATCAGCACATGTGAAATGGTTCCAAGGGACGTGCACATAAGTAATAGAGATTTTCTCTTGGTCTCTTTGAAATAAAACTGAGAAAAACAATGCTCTGAATCACAATGTTATAAGCAAGTACATGCAGAATTCTGAATCCTTTGATCTAGGTTTCCTGTTTAGCTCTTGTCCACCTCTTCCAGGGTAAGAGCTGACTCAACTTTTTAAGAGCTGAATAGGAAAATATTTTCATATACCAAGAATATTTTCTAGCCCAAACTAGATAAAAAGTCCAAACTTCAGCAGCACCAAAATTGCAAATTAAAGCTTCAAAGATTTCAACATAAATTAGCCTAAGTATGTTGTCGATCAATTTTGATTTCAGTATTACTTTTTTAGTTACTAAAAATTAAAAAATCTTTCCAGGCAATTAATAATTCAGAACAACAGCAAATCCTAACACTGATAATTTGGATGTAAATAGGGAATGAAAAATTTTCAACTGAAATATTTTCCAAAAGCTGTTATTTTTCACAGGTTGTTCCTGTTTTAAAAAACAGCTGAAATCTAAGTCAAAAGTAACGCCAGGGAGCTCCACATCAAATAAGAGTGGCTGTAGTGGATGAACCCAAGGCCCTTCTAGTTCAACCCCCAGCAGCGGTGGCCAAAAGCAGGGGCATGTTCAGCATAAAGCACTTCTTCCCCCACATCATCAACCATCTGCAGTTCAGAGATCTCCTGAGCAAGCAGTGCTGTCTCTGTGTTCACTGACCCTCACTGGACTCCTCTTAGACACTTCCATTTTCCAACTAACCTGATATAAATGCTTCATTGCCACAACACACCCAGTGAGGAATTCCACAGATTAACTACATGTCTTGAGGAGAACCATTTAGTTATCTTTTCTTATCAACATATTTTGTTGTCAAATAATAATCCTTGTATGTTTTTCCCAGTACCAGATGTGATACTCCCCTCACTCCCTGTTTTCTCCACACCATTCACGATTTTAGACCTCTACACCACATCACTCTTGGTTGTCTTGTCTCCTGGCTGAAGAAAACTAATCTTCTTAGCTTCACATTTGTAATTATTCATTTGCCCCTTCCTCTATGTGACAACATCATACAAACAAATATATTTCACCCAGGCAGTTTGTGACTATTTCTTCTTTTTGCTTTTTATATTATGGAAATGGAAATGTAGGCTCCAAATTAAGCATCTGAATACCTCGGCAGAAACCCTGGCAAAAAAAAATTTAGTCATGCATTTATTTGAAAGGAAGCATTTTCATGGAGGGTGAAAGCATCACTTCCAAGATTTACCTACTTTTAACTTTTACTTGAAACTACGAAAATTTTCGTTAGGTAACAGATGAAGGAGAGATAATTATTTGTTAACATTAATTTATAGTAACAATTTAACATCTATGTTATTCTACTTCAAAGCCTTCCTGGAAAGACACGTTGTAATTATTTTTTCCAGTATTTTGCTTAAAAAAATTCAGATTAGGTCAGATTAAACCACCGGGGCACTAATTTCAATTTAGCAACTCTGCATTACACAAATAGGATTTAAATGCTCATATTTAGAAGGATTTTACTTTAGATGAGAGAATTAAGAGGCTGGTGTATGTTACCTATAAATAACATGAGCTGTTCCTCAGTTGTGGGGCTCCTCCTGCACGCCAAGATGGCGAAGGGCCCTGAGGGGAAGCCGAGCGAGGGGCGGCTGAGGGCACTTGGTCTGTTCAGCTGGAGAGGAGGAGACTGAGGGGAGACCTCACTGCAGTTACAACTCCCTCGGGAGGGGAAGAGCAGGGGCAGGCACTGATCTCTGCTCTGTGGGGACCAGGGACAGGACCCCAAGGAATGGCCTGATGCTGTGTCAGGGCAGGTTTAGGTTGGATCTCAGGAAAAGGTTCTTCCCCCAGAGGGTGGTGGAACTGACCAGGCTCCCCAGGGCCGTGGGCACAGCACCAAGGCTGCCAGAGCTCCAGGAGCATTGGGATGATCTCTGGGGCACAGGGGGTGACTCTTGGGGATGGGTCTGTGCAGGGCTGAGGGCTGGACTCGATGATCCTTGTGGGTCCCTTCCAACTCAGCATATCCTGTGGTTCTGTAGTCAGACAACAAAATAGCAAGTTTCGAGAATCAGCATTCTTCCGTGAAGTTTTCACCTGATATAAAAAGACAAAAGGAACAGCCAACAGTTTGGAGGGTGGGTGTTATTTCTTTGCCTTCTGTTCTAACCATCACTTCAATACTTGATTCTAAATAAAGGAGATGAGAAAAAGAAGTTTTGAAATTTCACATTGTAAAGGAGGGTTTTATGTGGAATAGAAAGATTAAAAGAGTATGGCATAAGAATAAAAAAAGGTGATTCTTCTGAGAATTTTGAAGCAACCCAGTGTTCAAAATCAATAACAGTAAAACAAACTTAGGAAGAGAAGGAATAAAAATGCATACTCCAATACATATAAATAATAAATACATAAATCAGAGAAAAGTAAAAGGATAACCTACTATTTTTTCTCTTAAAGAACACATTACACTACCTTTTACTTCTTCTTTTGAAGCCACTAAATAGAAATTCCTTATTTGATTCATAAGTGACTTGAGATATACCTCTGAGTAGTTGAGATGCACAACAGCAAGTGGAAACAAAAACATGATATTTAATCTGTTTTGCCACCTTTTTCAAGGTTTTCTTGCAAGAGTTACTGAAACAGTTTCGATGTCTCCATCACCTGATGAAGTGCATTCAAGAGAAGAAATTTCAAATAAACAGCAGCACAAGATACATAAGTAGAGAATTCAAAATTAGTTGACATCTTCTATCAAATTCTTTGATATAAGCAACTTCTGAGAGTAGGGTGCATGCCTTTATGCTTTACACCACCAAGCAAATTGTACTAAACAATGATCTGTACCAAATACTTTGAATATATTTTACAATTCTTGCATATGCTATGAATTCAATACTGGTTTTTTTTTCCAAATGACTTTGCCTTTGGGAAGCATTCTAATTTTAAAAATGAGAGGGAGAAATATCAGCTAGGTCTAAACTCCTTATTAACATGTTAACAATTCTTTTCAAATCATGATTCTGCTATTATTGAACAAGACAGTACATTCTCGTTCTCCAATTTCATGCACCCAGAAATTAACTCTGAATAGTAGTAACCAGAAAATGATAGGGATCTGGGTCTCTGCTGACAGTACTAACAAGGCAGTTGATAATCACATCTGCAAACAAATTTCCCCATTCCTCAACCCTTCCACAAATAGCCCAGGTAAACAAAGAACACAGACCTGGAATAGCAGAGCAGAACAATCTTCCTTTTATTCAGCTGTGGGATAAGTTTTTACAGATTTCCTCAGATCACTGTGCATCAAAACATGAGAGCAGTGCCTGATTATAAGGAATTCGTGAAAGATCAGCAGCATTCAGACACCAGAAAACAGAGATTTACCAGTATTAATCATGTTTCAATAAAGAATTAGATATTTGACTTTTGGTAGACATTGAATGGGTCTGATTTTCAAAGAAAACAAAAAAATATCCTCTGCACTTTAATGGTAAAGAACCACAGCAGACAGAATGACCCCTGATAACTGTAGAGCTGATTTTTGACCAGGCACACACACCCCCCCCTTCCACTGACTGTCTCATTGCCTCCCTGATGAAACCAGGGCACCAGCCCCAGTGAATTCTTAAATTGGCCTCTTTCTAAACACACCTCTCTTCCCATTTCAAGACTCACTAATGCCACCTGTTAGCAGATTATCTGGATGGTTTGAAAGCCGTGCAACACACAGAGAAGTCAGTCAGTATGAGTGGTGTAATTTTATATGCTCTCCTCTTGGATTTTTCAACAGAGTTGGAAGTATGTTATCAGAGGGCTAACAATGTTGGGTAATCACCCTTTGTGGCTGTTTGGGTACAAACTACACTTGTGGTTAGTTTGTTGACTTACCTTTGGCATGTCTGCATGCATATTAGACGAGAAACAAGAAATGACAACTCAGAAAACTATGATACTTTTCAGACAGAGAATCTAATGCTGAGAAAAGTATCACCTACTCAACGTTCATTTAAGCTTAAACCAAAAGGGAAGCTTTTTTTCAAAATGTCTCTTTCTGAACAGACCTAATAATGTATAATCCAATTGTCAGTTTTTTCTTGCTGGCTACTTTTTAATTCATTCTTTGGTGAGTGATCCCTACTTTTCAATGGCAAGGTGAGCAAGTTAAGGAGTGTGAAAATACAAAGAAACTTTTAGAAGTAGGATGGGCATTGCCTAAAGAAATAAATACTAATAATGTGAACAATAACGAAATGCTAATAGTGAGAAACAATAACTGAACTCTTATCTTGCACCCTTCAATGTACATTGAATTCCAATGGCTACTAGACCTACTACCAGGTATGTAGGTGTGTCACCTTATTTTATTTATTGTTTTTAAATCCCAAATAAAAATATTTTTATTTTGTTCAACTGGGAATCTCTCTTCTTTTTCCTTTTCAATAAGGAAACATGATTATGTCAGGTCAAATCTAAAAGTGCTTTGGTTTGTCTGCCAAAACTAACCCTAAAACATTTTGGAAGAAACTGCTCTATGGCAGTGAAGTGGTTTTACAAACCCAGCAATCAGTCTTTACTGCACCTCACAGAAACATCCTTAACATGAAGTAAGGAAAGGTAAAAGGCTGAATCTCCTCCAGGGTGTCAAGAATTCACAATAATATTTCTTGCTCGTGGTTACTGTGCTGCTCTGGGTGAAGGTAATTTATGGGAGCACGTGGATCAGTGTGGCCACATTGCACTGCCTTTGCTGAAAGAATTCATCAAAGGACGATCTTCAGAGAAAAATTAAATGAAGTCAGCCCTGGGTAAGGGCTAATTTTCCAAAGAGAAACTCTTTGGAGTTTCAGATAGATCTCAGCACACTTTGCTGCAATTACCATGAAAAAATTCTTTGGCAGTTTAATTTTTGCAGACTGACCTATGAAACTTTGCAGTTCTCTTCGGTCACGTCACTGAGTCACTGGTATGACATTTTCAGCAAGAGTCTGTTGTAAAGCCAAGTTTTTCCAATGCTCTTTCCTTCTTCATATCATTACAATCCTTAACAGACTGAAGCAGTTCCTTGTCAATTGACACGACAGGTTCTGTTGGAACTTTTGACAGCCAGGAAGTAGTTTGAGCAGTATTTTTAATACCCTCTCTCAGATTCACCAGCAAGCCCACAGCTCAGCCATTAAAGCACTTTCCCAGCCAGTGTATAAAGAAAACAGCTGTTTATTAGACTTGCTTTCTGTAGTGTGTACAAACAGTACAGAGAGCAACAAAGTGCCTTTGCAGTGCACAAACACTGAGAGAGCAAAAAGAAAACGAACACAAGGCATTAAACAAAGAAAGGATGTGTACAATGGAACAGGCATAAGCTATTTATTTTTTGTTTGTTTTTCTTTTTATGCTAAAAATAGAACACAATGCTTGTAGAGACTACTCACCAAAGCCTGAATAAACCGGAGGTCAAGAATATCAACATCATTAAAACTCTTTCCAATTTTCAGTTCTTTATCTAGATTCACTTTTTCCTGATATTACTTACTTCAGAAACTAAGCCCTCTCCCAAGGAAAAAAAAAAATCCATCAGAAATTCTCTTAAGTGGACATTTTAAGAGAGAAATGATCAGACTTAGTCCTGGGCATCTATCACAGTTAAAAGTGTCCTGAAAGAAAAATGTGAGACACTGAAGCTAAGAATTTGGTCAACCAAACCTTCAATAACTTTGAAGCTTCTTAAATTACAGTTCTTGTAAAAGGCTGAACAAATTTCTACAATAATGTTTCCAAGCTGTGAAACATCACATTGCCTGGAGTTACTTGGAAGGTACAACAATTAGCAACAAATAGAAAATAGTGCACATCCAGTGCAGGTCAGTTCAGGAGTTTTCTTTCTAGAATTGCTATTCACTTAAACAAATTAAATGTGCTGTTCTATCATGCCTTATCATTACACTGAAATTAAACCTTGAATGAAATTTGTAACAAGACTGACATGTGGCAAAAATAGTCTGACCTTAACCCAGCGTGGTTTCACATTAGGGTTCTTTGTACTGCACATCACAAGATGCTACTACTGCAAAAATATAAACAGGGGAGTTTCCCATCATGAAATATGTTCGCAGGGTAAAGGCTCCTCTGTGAATGTATCACAAGTTCTTTGCAAATTACCAAAATCTTACCAAGACAACACATCATAGAACTTCAGGATAGATTTGCAGATACAACCAAGAAATGAGTGTGCTAAGGCTTTAGGTATGTTCTGAAAACATCTATAGACATAAGAGTTGTGATGTACCAAAAAAATAGGAACTGTGCTGACTTAGAAGACAAAATACAATACTTCTAACATTACTGTTATATTAAAGAACTTTTACTCAAGAAAAATAAGAACTAAATTTAACTAAATTGAGTTCTGTCCCAGCACAGATAATTTTAACTTCTCTGTGAATAAAATATTTCATTTTTACCCCCAAGAATATTTTGTTGGGCCTAATTACAACAAAAGCCTCCTGCCTGACCATTTTAGTGGTGCTGGTGAGCAGCTGTTGCCTCTGGAATTGGTAGCACCTGAACTTGGCAGTACCTGAACTTGGTAACACGAGCTCTGTTCACTGTTCTGGATGGGGTTAGCAATTGCCTTCACTAACTGGCACTGACATCCTCTCTTCCTACCAAAACCATCTCCCTGAATGCACACTGGAATTATACTTTTCAAGTCCCAGTGACTCAT